TATGTTATTTTCTGCTGATCATTTATGTGACTAAAACAAACAATATTTTTAGATCAACTTCTAAGGTATGTGAACCTTCTGTTAAAGTCATTTGGAGGCTCAGAATCAACCCAGTACCGATCCACATTCTCAAGAGAGAAAAACTCACCTGACGTAAATTACATTTTTAGCTATTGGAGTAACGCTTAGGAGAAATTAATTTAATTTAACAACATGCATTATGAGTCATGTTGTGCTTTAAGTGGACCAGTATGCATTGGTAAGTTTTCATTTTTTCTGTTCAACGTACTAGAACTTTTTCCCAATGTAAGCTTAGCACTGAGACACATTCAAGTGTTGTAAAAACTATTAAGTCAGTCTTTTTCCTATTGCTTCACACTACACATGCGTTAAAAAACATATGTTTGCTCCTTACCCGTCAAGTGTTGGATATGACAACATGGGTGGACGGAGACATAATTGTGATATGGAAAACTATGGCTGGAAAGAGGGGTGAAATATTGTGGCTTCCCTGCCAAAATGGAAGACTTGACAGGCATGGCTTGCTCTCCTTCTGACCTGTAACTGGCGCGCTCTGCTTGCAGACAGAGGGACCAAGGCAGTCTGTCAAGTTTCCTGGTGAAGAGATGGAGCCAATGCACAGACCGTCAGTGTTGAACCATGTATGTTCCAGACAGATCAACAGGGTGTCAGGAGCCTGTTGATCAGAAAGGATGTCATCAGACTTCTACTCGAATGGAGTTTCCAGAAGAGGGGGAGTGTGTGGAGGTTCCTCCATCTTCTCCGTGTTAGTATTCCTTTCTTGAGTGTTAGTATTTAGTTAATGTTTTATATTGATAATATTTATATTGATATCACTTTTTCTTTGGTGATGGGTTTTTGGTATTAAGTTGTTTACTAGATTGGGTGCACACATTTTAGTAAACACTTGGTTTATTTAGAATATTAACTATTTTGTTTTTTGTTGAGTTGAAGGACTGGCTGGGAGGATTTGATTGTCTTGGGTCAAACCAGTAAATGGAACAAACCATTAGGGTGTGGGAAGCAGGGAATTTGAAGTGGAAGATTCCTCCTCTCGTCCTATTGTTAAAATATTTATGGTGTTAGGTTGTTCTGTTTTATAGTTGTGTTAAAGTAAAATGTGATTTGAATTTGTTATTTATGTTTATGTATTGGTTGTTTTTGTTTCTCCCCTGCCCCTCCTTGTGTGTGTGTAGGCTAGCCTTTGTATATAAATTCCCCTGTGTGTTCATTGTGAAGAGTCAGTTTTTGTTTTGAGTTGGTATGCTTTAGTTGATTTTTTTTTTGGGGGGGAGGCATTTTTCTTATATTTCTTTTGAGATTTGTTGTAAAAAGAAATCTTTGTTAAGCTCTTTTGAAAAATTAAATAGTTACTTTTTTTATATGCCTTTGTCCTTGGTTTTGCTGGTTGGACCATCACAATAACATACAAGGATGTATAAGTATTCTTAGCCCCTGAACTCTCTCAACTTTGGCTACAACTGAATCACCAGTATGCTGTATTTAAGGAAAATAAATAGTGTCTATTTACTAAGCAATGTTGCTATGACTGAGGCTATTAAAAAATTCAAAACCTTTAGGAGGGTCTTTTGTGCTTTTTTTGACGTAGCAGCCCCCAAAATCTCCCGATGGTATTAACCTCTCCTAACCGCTCCAGCACTGTCAGTTGAGACAGTGCTGGAGCACAATGCCCATGCCCTTTTTTAAAAGTCTTCACTGTATTTTCCAGTGGTACCATGACAAGGGAAAAAACTTTTACAATCTGAGATGCACAACAAACTTGACAGAAATGTGTAATACATAATTAACCCCTTAACCTGCACCGGAACGCCCTCATGCTGTTTTTCCATTGTATTTTCCGGGGCTGAGATTTAAGGGTTTAAATTCCATTACGATGCTTTTATTGGGCAACCTAGAGTCCCCGCCCCCTCCTCCTATGATTGACACCACATTTGACCAATAATGTTATGAAATGGTTTTTCGTGCCAATAATATCCACAGAGCGATTTGAGCTCATTTTCACATGTCTTTATAGAGCTTTGGAAAGTGGCATCACTGCTGTAGATGTACTCTGCAGCGAAGGATATGAAGGGATATGGGCGCCATTTTGAGGGGCCATAAACATAACCAGCAAAAATGACTTTCTTGCAGATTTTTGGAATCCTAGTTTCTTATAATTATTTAGTGATGGTACAAGGTTAGATGTAATGTCCGATCACATGACCAAAATGGTAAAAAATTGCAAAACGGACTTTTGTTTCACCGTTTTCCTGCCTGGAGAAACAACGTGGCGATGGAGTTAAGCTAACAGATCTAACAAAAGGGAGATGAATGTCCTGGGTATCAGTGGTGAGACTTCCTGATATTATGTTCTCCAACATCCCAAGATACCAAAAAGTTTGATCCAGACATGTCCATTCAGGTGAGTGTCTAAATTTGCTTTGTTGATGTTGTGTCATCATGCTTTGCTATGATTTTGTCCGGGTGTATTCATGTTTAGTTATGTTGAGTTCATTTAAGTGGCTCAACCTTGTTAAGGTCGTACTTTATTGATCCATTGGGAAGACTCCCTCAGGAAATTGAAGTTACCAGCAGCTTACAGGCAGAAAGGTGGCACACAGTGAACAAAATACAAAAGAATACAACAAATACAAATTAAATACAAAGGTACACACTAAATGTCAGTAGGCAAAACCCTAAATTAAGCAGAAATAAGTAAGGAGTAAGAATATAAATAAAATATAAATACAACACAAAAGAAAATATAGGAATTTGGAGGATAGATTGACCAGTGATATGATATTGCACTATATGGTTTGGCCTGATAAGTGTGAATATTTGCAGAAAAATACAAGGGGTCACTACTCCACTATTCTTCCCTCTGTCCTGTGTCACCTCCCACCCTCCAGTGAGAAGTTGTACAGTCTGAAGGCGTGGGGGACAAAGGAGTTCTTGAATCTATTGGTCCGGCACTTGGGAACCAATAGATTCCCAAGTGCCAGAAGAGCCTGTCACTGAACAGGCTCCTCTGGCTGCTGATGACGGCATGTAGAGGGTGGCTGCTATCGTCCATGATGTCCAGCAGTTTGTTCAGTGTCCTCGCCTCTGCCACTGTGACCAGAGTCCGCTTCACGCCGACCACAGAGCCGGTACGCCTGATCAGTTTGTCCAGTCTGTACGTGTCCTTCTTGGATGTGCTGCCTCCCCAGCAAACCACGGTGTAGAAGAGGACACTGGCAATCACTGACTGGTAGAACATCCACAGCAGTTTGCTGCAGATGTTAAAGGACCGCAGTCTCCTCAGGAAGTACATCCTGCTCTGCACCTTCCCATACAGGTGGCTGCTGTGTTTTGACCAATCCAGTTTACTGTCCAGCCACAGCCCAAGGTACTTGTAGGAGTCCACGGCCTCAACCTCAGTTCCCTCTAGTACAACTGGTCTCGGCTTTGGTCTGGACCTCCCATAGTCTATAACCAGCTCCTTCGTCTTAGCGGTGTTGAGTTCTAGATGGTTTGTGTGGCACCAGAGAGCAAAGTCCCTCACCAGACAGCGATATTCCTCCTCTCTGTCGTCCCTGATACATCCGACTATGGCTGTGTCGGACTATTTTAGTCCGAGTTTTGTCAGTGGACATCGAGGTTCTTCCATTCTTGTGAAGTAAACAATTTTACTAGTGTTTATCAAATGTACAGAATGAATACTAATATGTGTTCTGATATGTCCTCTTCAAGGCAAAACGACATATGAAATGGATGAGCTCAATCCAGACTAGGTTCCAGCGCTGAATCTGGATCACTGCGAGGTAAACGCCACAACATCGGACCAACATGAGTCAAAGAGGCGATACAGCAAGACCATGATGGATCAACAACTGGGTGAGCAAGTTACAGAGATTGTTTTCATTATAAAACACAGTAGTGGTGGCTATAGAAGAGGAGCAAGAGGCTGAGGAGGAAACCCCAGCAGAGGAGCTCAGCAAGGCTGCTCCGAAGAGCAACATGAACCATTTGTGTTGATGAAATGAATCATATGTTAGGTAAAAATTTGATACCTAAAATATTTCAGGTAATAAACATATATGTAATGAAAGATTTTATTTTTAAATTAACATTTTATGTGATTAAAGTAAACAATTATTTAATCTGACATTTTGCAGTAGACATTTAATGTAAACAATCAAACCAAATGAAAGAGCCCATCTTTAAACATTTAATGTAATCAAACAGTTCAAAGTAAACAATAAAGGTTATGAAATAAATCACACTTTAATATTTGTTGTATTTAGCATATTTCAGGTAAGAAGTGAATATGTAATGAAATAGATCCTGGCCTAGAATTTTATGTAATTGAACATTACAGGTAACAAATGTTATGATCGTCTGAGGTAATACATTTTATGAACATTGTTTAAAAATATTTGTAAAATATAAAATTAGTTAAAAAAAGAGGGGTTAAATGTAATAAAGATGAGTGTGCTTCATCTATACAGTAGAACAATTTCATATTGATTATGAATTAATCAGGCCATGATTTGGAAGCTATTTAAGAAAACGTTTAATAGTAAAGTTATTTAAAATATTGAATATGATTTAAAATTTAATAGAGGCTAGTGCCTCGTGTAATTATCACTTTTTGTATCAGTTGGTCACAAGGCAAGGCAGCAGTGTTTGGTTCAGAAATTGACGGTATGAGCGCTAGAGGAGGAATTAGCATTCATAAATCGGGTCAATCTCGAGCTAAATGCCCCTTACACCGCGGAGCGCAGATATCCAATATCCAACTTGTAAACAACTTCACTGCGGTCGGTAACACAATGTAAATGGCGAAATAACGTTTGTTTTAGTCTGTGGCCTCAAAAGACTGCACCGAGCAACGTAAGCTCCGGAGCGGAGACAACAACAACCACCTATCATTTTAGTCTAGCTTAAGCTAACCGGAATATTTACAACTCTCTTGTTCATATACTGACATTTCTTACCTTCTGTCTCTTTGAAAAGGTTTTCTTCGTCTATACAACATCTTTGTCGAAAGAGAGAGCATGTGACCCCTGTCTTGGCTTCACTTCACTGGCTGCCTGTTTATTTTAGGCTCTGTTTTAAAATTCTTATGTTTGTTTGTTTTTAAATCGCTGCACAATCTTGCCCCGGCTTGCCTCACTGAGCTTTTTCACACTTACATACCTTATCGGTATCTAAGGTCTGCAGATCAGTTGGTCTTGGAGGTACCGAGATCTAGACGGAAGCTCAGAGGGGACAGGGCTTTCTCTGTCGTGGGTCCTAAGCTATGGAATGACCTGCCTTTGCAGGTTATAGAGGCTCCTTCACTGTCCATTTTTAAAGCTCGTCTTAAAACCCATCTATTTTACTTGGCTTTCAACTCCAGCGAGATCTAGTTTTACATTGTTTGTTTTAAACTGTAAGAGTTTTTATTTGTTTTTATCTATTTTATGTACAGCACTTTGTATCAGCTGTGGTTGTTTTAAAGTGCTTTATAAATAAAGTTGGTATGGTATGGTCTCTCTCTTCTGTTTTGAGCCCAGGAGTTTTTTTCTGCCGCCCATCTTTAGCTCCCTGTGCTCAAGTGTACGGAGCCCCCTTGGAGACATGGGGACTTTTTTTCTTTTGCGTTCCCTCGCATCGCAAAGGTTTTGCGAGGGAACGCAAAAAATAAATAAATAAAAAATTCCCCATGTGCCCTTGGGAGCTCGTACGAGTGTACTTATACAATTCAAATTTAAAAGAAAGAAAAGAAACGCGCCTCAGTTCATTGTCGAAGCTGTGTGAGAAGAGAGAGCAGCTGGCAGGAGGGCAGGGGCAGCTAGTCAGTGCTGTCCCTGTAACGTAGTTAATATTGTACAGAATTCCACTTGTCTTTACTTCCAAGTTTGGGTTCAGGTGTAATGGGTGAAACAGCACCCCCTCCTGGTGGTTGGCAATGTTAAATATAGTGAACATGGATATCTCGTTGCCAGTTCATGAGAGATGGGCGCGAGGTAGGTTCACTGGGAACATTGTAACGGTCCTGTAAAATGTTCTGTTAGTTTGTTGCTAACATAAAATACTATTCCTCGTAAGGTGCTGTACTGCCGGTGATGAACCTGGTCCCTGATTATTTTATATCCTGTTTCATACAGATAAACTACATCTTGTATCATCCGGTCTCCTGGTCCATATTCACACAACGCAGAGTACTGACGAACAGCCATAATAATTAAAAAGGTTACATCCCTCTGCTATTGATAATTTCATATACAAACAGCGGGTAAGTACATAAAATGCTGACGACAAAAAAATTCTCCACATCGTTTTTGCGCTCCCTCTAGTGCAGCGCCCCTATGCGTTGCATATAGTGCATTCCCTACTGGCGACATACTGGCTCTGCTCATCATTCAACCTTTGTCATTTGTGGAGTGATACTGACCCCAAGTGGCCAACGACTGAAATACTTTGTAAACTGACTGCTGACATACTTAATATTATTAACAGAAATGAATAAGTATTTGTACTATAACAATGACGCATTTCTTGTGCGTATGCATGTTTTACATTAGGGCCAGGTGATGAACTTCTCAGAGCTCTGTTAAAAGCCTGGGAAATTGATTTCAAACCTAACCCTACTTTAAATGTCTCCACAACTCCCTCTGTAACCTGCTGTGTTCCTTGGTCTTCATGATGATGTTTGTTCTTTATTGTTATTGAACATACTTCAGAAGTCTTCTAGGAAAAAACACACTGCTGGAATGTTTGCTGATTAGTTGGCTCCTGAAGAAAAACTAGCTGTTGCACTAGCTGTTATTTCAGGTCACCAAATTAAGCACTGAATCCAAGTGTAACTCATACTTTCCAGATTTTTCTTTGTCAAAAATTTTTGAAAACCCTGCAGGAATTTATACTTCATCGCTTAGTGTTGATTTTTTACATAAAATTCTGAGATACATCAAAGTTTGTAATTGAAAGGAGAGGGAAGAGGAAAAAACTTGACTGAGATACACATACACATACAAATCATTGCAGCTGTTCACTTAGGAAACTTCATCTTCAATGACATTAGTAGCTTAGTTTTTCTGGTTTGCTCTTGACCCTTAGACCCCACTTTTGTCTGACTTCATAAGAGCATGTCTCCATGCCAGCAGCATGGTGAGCTCCCGGTTGAAGAAATTTCAGAGAATAAAAGCAGTGAGGAGCTGAGCATGGAGGATAATGGTGGAAGTGTATTTTGGTGGCTCTGGGAATCTTTCCTGGGAGTTTCACCTGAGGTACAGAAGACTACAGTTGAAACTCTCTCACTATTTCTCTGTACTACTGAACTCTTTAGTTAATTTCTTCTCATGTTGGTGTTCTTTGTCAACTGAAGGTCAGCTGCCACATTGAATATGGGCTAGACATGGCATAGACAAGGCTGTATGTTTAGGAAACATAATTAAGAAGTGAGTGAAAAGAAACTTGAAAAACAGATGAGAGCGCTCACAATACTCCCAATTCTCCTTCCTCTGAAAGCTGCATGACTAAACTTTGTTCTGGGTTTCTTTGCTCTCTTTGTTACTTTCACCTCCTTAACCTGTTCCAAAATTTGTACGGACAATTCCTTCATTCATTGCTTGTACATCTCTTCTGTTGCTACTGTTTTCAGTTCCATTGTTTGAGGCAAGCAGCACATGCGTCAGTTATTTTTTCTTCCTCTAGATGGCACTGTCAGGCAGGGATTGTAGTTTGTTCAACTGACATTCATTGAATGAATGTCAGTTGAACATTCACTGAATGAAACCTAATTTTTTTCTCTTGGTGTTAGAAAGCAGAGCTTGTTGTTTCAGAGGAGAAGGAAGTAGTGACTGGCCTAGGTGCTGGTCAGACTGCAGAGGATGGAAAGGTAACACAAGAACATTCTTTGTCCTTTTGATTGGTTTCAGCAGGATACATCCAGTCATCAAATTTTGTCAAAAGTTTTTGTAAACCATGTAGGAATTTTCCATTGTCAAATCCTAAAAGTGGTTCTGATGCAGTAACAGAACCAGACACCGATTCTGATTTATTTGGTCCCGTAATGCTTGGTTGAACATTGGCCAAACAGGCCAATCTTTTATTGTGCATCTCTACAATAAATAGAGATGCACAGAGAATTCAGAGTTCAGCTTGATCAGTTTAGACCATGAAGGCTGAAAATTTGCTGTGGTTTGAGCTTTTAATATCTGTCATTGTTGACAGACTTTCTGCCCTGTTACAAGTGGCCTTAAAACATAGGTAAAGAGACGGACTCGACAGGCAGCCCCTTTACGCTGATTTGCAGAAACATGAACTGGTGTTGTTGCTCCAGTTCACAAACACATGTAGTAGTGTTTGTGAACTGGAGTGTGTGATGTTGCCATTAGAGATAGTTTGTGAAGCCAAATGTTTAAACTAATTTTTATTTCAGATCATATTTATATATATATATAGATGTCCTTAATCGGCCATTTGTGGCAGAATGCATAGAGAAAACTACTCATTAATGAACTGTTGAAATATGCATACATAGTTTTCTCTGGATTCACTGGGTATTTCTTGAACATCTTTTTACATTGATGTAATTTGCCACTATGTTGCTTTGATTTAATTGCTAAAATAATATTTAAACACACAACTGTTATCTTGAAAATTCTATTTATGAGTCTGTCACATGGTTTAAAAGGCAGCACACAACCTTTGTGGTGTGAATATTTGAATGAAATCATTTATTGCGATCCAGTCTGGAAGAGGCACACTATAGCGCACAGAGAAAGAACCTTTAGCCTAGGGTAGTGTCTTGAGTGACAGTTCTACTTGAAAATAGAACCAAACCAGATAGTGGCACATACCACTGTTGTGTTTCACCATGTAGGAATTTTTTGGCACTTAGTTGATGCATAGCTTTCTAAGCCCTCACTCAGAGCTCCATGCCACTCAGTTCAGGTTTGATTTTTGAATGCTCACGTGTTTGAAATATTTCCATCTTTATTTCAGATGTATAAATGAGCAGATCTTAGAGGTTTGTCTCTGTGGATTTTTGTTAGAACTGTTTTGTTAAGGGAACTGCTTACATTTTCTGTGGAATACACAATGAGCTATGCTAACTGTGCTGATAATGCATTAGTAACTACAATATAATTACTCTATTGTAAAACTTTGTTCTACAAAGACTCTCAATCTCTCACACAACTGGTGTGATATTACTTTGGCATCTGTTATAACATATTTAATATTTACTCACACCAGAAAGCTTAGACGTACATATTTTAAATCATAAGTTAAATCTAAAACTGATAGAAAATTTTACAAATACTAGAAGCTAGAAATCAGCCTGAAATCTTCTGTCAGTGCAGGCGCGTACAGAGGGGGGTGCTTTGGGGGCTTGAGCACCTGCCCCTTTTGCTCCATGGCCCCAAGTGCCCTTTTGGTGTTTTTTTTTCCTTACACATGTACTACAATTATTACTATATTACTATTATTACTATTATTATTATTATTACTTTGCAAGAAAAACAACACAATAAGCCCTCCGGTCACATTGTTACCTTTGACCTTTTGCCCGTGACGCACGACGCACTTGCCTCTCGCGCGGTGAGATAAGGCGGCTAACTGCGGAGCTCAAGCTAGCGACGTTCCAGATTACAAAACAGCTTTTGGTGAACTGAAAAAAAATATTTTTGGTGAAAACACTGGAGTCGGCTTGCTACTTGTCAGTTAACGGAAAACGTTAAATGTTGTATCGTTTCTCCTTCAGCACGGAGTCGCGGTTTAAGCAGAAATGAAATATAACAAGACAGGCGTCTTAGAGAATATAAGTCTCTAAGTCCGCCTTTCTCTGAATAAACTGAGCGGGAGGAGACAGACAGGTGAGGAAAAGCTGTTCTTATCTATCGATCCAGTATTTTTATCATCAGACATTAGGCTGTTGTTGTGCTATGAGCTAGCTGCTAGCTAATGACTTTGCTAGCAAAGCAAGGTAACTATAGCTTCCCTGTATTGTTAATGACAGCAGTCATTCTTCAGTATTACTTATGCAATAGGGGCACACCGCCCGTCCAAAACCTATCATCTCCATAATGGATATATGTCCGATTTTCTAATTTTCTTTGGTGAATGATGTATTAGGTAAATGTATCTTGAAGGAGAATTTAAATAAAAGTCCAACAAGGATATTCATTTAGAATTAAAAATAACTCATCCTGAACTACCATGATAGATATAATGTATGTAATAATCAAACTGTTTCTGTCCAATAAAAGCATTTCATTAATGAAGGAGCAAACATAAACTTTTATTTGCACACATCAGAAATCTTTGGTTTTGATTTTAGGCTCTCCCCAGACCTCATGTGAGAATCACAAGCAAAACTTTGAATAGCAAGCAAAGATTTCTGACATGCGCAAATAAGTTTGTTTGTTTTGCAAATAATTTTTTTAAGTCATGAGATAAAAAATTGTGATTTCAGTTTAAAAAAAAATTTAAGTTAAACTTTTTTTGTTGAAAAAAATGTTACAATTCAAAATGTCTTGATCACAATTTTATATTATTTAATTGAGGTTAGTATTTGAATTGAATAATTGTGAAACAAATTGAACTCCATAGGAGAGGTCTCATTTCTCTTAAATTAATATTGTTATGCTATGGACTGAAAAACATATTGGTTTAAACACAAGGGTAAAGAATTGGTAGTGTGGTTTATTATAGTGTTCTGATCATAATTCTTTGTTTTGCTTTTTTCAGTTCAAAGACGCCACGTAAAGAGAGACGTCAGAAACAAAAAAGAAAGGCAGTGGATTGTTGACCAACTGGGTCAACTGTACCAATCATTCACAGTGAGGTTGTTAACATTCTTCAAGACATGACCAACAGAAAACTGTTGCTATGAACAAAAGAGAACAAAAACAGCAAAAAATGCTTAAAAGTTTGAAATTTGTTTTTAAACAGTTAAAAGGCAAGAGACTGAAATAAATAAGACTTCACTCAACACAGAAAAAGAAAAAGAAAAGAAAAGAGAAACTGACAAGAAAAAAAGAAGAGGAAAGATTGAAGAAAATGTACATAGGTACTTACAAAATACACTAAAACACAAATAGAGTAGTCTTTTCTCATAGTGACATACATTAATTACATTTTTGCTTTTGTTTTTTTCCTGCAGTTCCACGTTAAAGTTTGATGCAGCTCTGTTTTTCTGAATGGACCGTCTTCATCTCCACTGCAAGTACAGCAACCCAAGCAGATGTTCTTTGATTGTATGTCTCACAATTTTGTAATCTATCATTGTTAATTAAACTCTGAGAGCTGTGTGACTTTGTTAATATTCTGTCCTGAAATGTGATTTGATGTGCCCTTTTTTTTTTTTTAGCACCTGCCCCTTTACTAGTCTCTGCACGGCCCTGTGTCAGTGCATCTTTAATGATAAGCTAGCACAAAATTAACTCTTAACACCTGGCCACAAAATCCTAATCAACAACATATGAGAAGATTTTTTGGGGTGTATTTTGACTGATCTGATCCTGTACATGTTTCTTCAGGATATTGAGAGCTCTACTGACACTGCAGAAGCAAGTTCATCTGAAGCTTTGACAGAAGCTCTGGACCCAGGGAGAACCCAGGGAGAACCCAGTCCTTGTTGGTAAACACAGCCTCCATTGTCAACTTCTCCCAGTCTGACTCTAGGCCCCAGCACAGATGTGTAGTTTCCTAGATGTAGCTTTTCCTGTCAATGTCTCAAAAATATATGATGTTCCTAAGAGATATCTTTTATTACACTAGAACCTATGAATTGTCATTTCCCTTCAGAAACCTGTTGCAAACCATCCAGCCTTTTTTTTAGAAACCCTGTTACAGGTCAACCTGCCAACATTCTGTACATCTGTATTTAATATACATACAATCATCCATAAAACTGTGTCTCAAGTTTTATTAAGACCTGTGGAGCTCTTTCTTGTAAAATTTTTGTCAAATTACAATGACATTTTCAAGAATTAATTTTTGTAAAGGCTTTAAATCTAACTTAAGCTGAATGTAGAAAACTGTTCTGCATTTAAAATCCTCGCATTCACAGAAAGGTTTCTTTTTGTCTTCTGACGCAAAAGCTCATGGTTTCTCTCCATTATTAAAAAAAAGCTTTTGCTGGAAACCTTTTCTACATTTTACACATTTTTCGACTTCCAACTCTGCTCTTAGAGACCAGCCTCCGTTTTTCCTTTAATATTTCCATGAATTAATTTTGGTCTCCATTGGAACTTGCTTCTGTTTTTGTTTTTGTTTTAATGCCAACTGTCTTTGAGTCTGTGACTAAAGCAGAGGTATATTACCAAAATCCTCTTTCAAATAGTATAGCACATTACATACAACTGTCTGGAATAGTGTGAAACATGACACATCTATAACATTCAATTGTTGAAGCTCACAAGATTGGATAATTTGGGATAATGCCTTCAGAAAAATTAGTGATTTGGGGGAAAACCTGGAACTCAATCACTTTCAGACTTTATGGAATTAAGAGTTTCCTGAATTTTAAAATGTGGTTTAATCTGGTAAGGGGTTCTTCAATACTTTAGTGACCAACTATTGCCAGCTACCCCATTGGAGAGTGACTTTTAGCCAAGTCTTTCAAATTAAAATGCAGTTTTAAGTTTATTCTTACATCTCCCTGATCTGTCAATGTAGAATTAGTTAGAATCCCAGAATTCTTAGAGAAACATGCATGTCAACCCTGTCAGGGCAGGTAATAAGTAATGTGGACATCCTCTCTGAAGAGGACTGAAATTGAAGTAGATGTGTGCTAGAAGATTTCTTGTCTTCCAAGTTTCTGAGCACAGTATCTGCAACAGGCGTTTAGTGGATTGAAGGTTTCTGTGGCACCAGACAAAGGAAAGTGCTGTGATGGAGCGAGTCTTCTGTCTTGTTGTAAGTCTTCTTCTCTGAGGAGATGCAATGTCAGACACTGAGAAAAGATTCATGGAAATGTATTTTAGACTTAATTTTTATAATGTTATAGACCGCTTACAATACTAATACCATTATGAATTTTAACCTTTTTATTTGTCTGCAGAGTTTTTTTTGAATGCATCTACTATATGTGTTTGTGAATTAATACACAGGAATATGCTGTTTAGTTAATGAAATACTTTCTCAGCTAAGTTAACATCTCAGCTACTACTATTCCAAACAGATCCCTGATTTATGACAAACCATCTGATAGATTTTCTCTGCTTTTTGATTGTTGCCATGAAAATGCAGTGGTTTCACCTGATAACTGCTTTATAAACAATAAATAGATATCTGATACAGATATCTAAATTGTTGTTTTTGACAACATGTGGGTTTCAGTTGACAGCTGTTGGTTATTACGCAATAGCCAGCCCCGCCCTAATCCGCACAACTCCTCTGGACTGACTACTGACCAGCTCTCCATCTAACGGGTCCGGAAAGTTCCTGAAACCTGGGTATTACCCTGCAGAAGGCCTGAGAGGGACAATCTGGCTAAGCTGGTGTGGAGAGAGACTCGTCTAGCTCTAACTACCTATATCCAGAAGTTATGACCCTTGAGATCTATTTGGGTTGAGAGTGGAGCCTCAGTTGAATCAGGAGCCAAAGTTATTCCAGCGGAGTGTCAGCTTGTCTTCCCTCTGGGTCCGGTGCGAAGCTCCTCTGTTGGTTTCCTTGGCCTGCTGTTGCTCGATCCACTTGCCGGGGACGAAGAACCCCAGCTCTCCGTTCCTTCGCATATTTATATTCTTTCCTCCCGTTGTTGCGTGCGGGGAGCGGATTACATGGTTTCTCAAGTATGTGATTACTTCATACCAGGTTCTGTTGGACCTCAGTGCATCTTTTGACATATTGCTGAATGGACTGGAGAGTTGGGTTGGACTCTCCAGTTCGGTGCTCGACTGGTTTGAATCCTACATAAAGAACAGGAATTTCTTTGTTTCAGTTGGAAACTTCTCATCAAAGAGGTCAAAGGTCACATGTGGGGTACCCCAAGGTTCAGTCCTAGGACCCCTCTTATTCAATATTTATATTCTCCCACTAGCTCAGGTTATAAAAGGTAATAATATTAGCTACCACAACTATGCGGATGACACACAGCTCTACATTACAATGTCACCAGGTGACGCTGAACCCATCCAATCACTGAATAAATGCTTAGAGCAGATAAATATGTGGATGTGCCAAAACTTTCTCCAACTGAACAAAAATAAAACTGAAGTCATTATTTTTGGACCTAAAGAGGAACGATCTAAAGTCAATGCACAGCTTCAGTTATTACAACTAAAAACTAACAATCAGGCCCGAAACCTGGGAGTAGTGATGGACTTGGACTTGAACCTCCAGAGCCACATAAAGACAGTAACAAAATCGGCCTTCTATCACCTGAAGAACATCTCCAGGATTAGAGGACTAATGTCTCAGCCAGATCTAGAGAAACTCTAGAGATCTAGAGAAACTCATTCATGCGTTTATCTTTAGTCGCATTGATTTACTTGAGATTTCCTTCAAATCTCAAGTAAAAGGCCCGTTATGATCTGTTTTCTGCATAAACCCTGGACAGATCTCACCTCCTCACACCAGTTTTTATGACACAGCAGCAGAAACTTCACATTACATGCGTGTGTTGTTCCTGCTTCTGTTCAGTCGTTTTCATGTGTTTCTATGTAAAACAAAATGAAGACAATAAATATTCTGCAGTGATCTACTTGTCAGTGTCTTCCTTTCCTGTGTTAGGAGCTTTTGAGACAGCACTGTAAAGTTGTGCAGACTGTTGTACTCTAGACACACAGTTCACACACATCCTGGAGATACTGCAACAGGGAAACTGTTAAATCTAGAAGTCCTAAAAACCTGAAGAAGCCTTCTATCAACACACGATTTATTCACACTGTCTGACATTACATTCAGAATACATTTTTACATAAAAAGTATTCAGCCCTTTGGATATTTAACCCTTTTATTGTTTTCACAATCAAGTTGTCAAAAATTAGCTTTTTTGACAAAAAATTCTTTAATGCTAATATGCCAACATTGTCATTGTTTTCATATCTACAAAACAATGACAATCAAAATGGAAATCTGAACACTAAATTTAGCACGGATATTAACACCCTATAAAGTGTGTGAACTTACTCTGACTTAATTCAACAGAGGTCCAGTTGCGAGTATTCTTGCAATGAGTGGAATGGAGATCATATGACTGCAGAAAGTATGCAGACTTCAGACACTGTAGAGCCATCCACACTGATTCCAGCCAGAGGTGTCCACTTACTTATTTTATGTTAAATATTTTTAAGTAATTGCCATTATTTTGAAGAAATCAGATTTCATTTTGACATTAAAATTGCTTTTGTCCAAAAAGTCAAATCTTGTTGATCATGTCTGATTTGATAAATTAATATCACACGTAAAACATCACAGGGAGAGTTAGCATATATAAAAAATACCTCCTCCTACCCTCCTATTAGAACTGGTCTTTGATCAGACATGATGTTATGCATCCTGGCAGGTGTAACGTAGTTAATATTGTACAGAATTCCATTTGTCTTTACTTCCAAGTTTGGGTTCAGGTGTAATGGGTGAAACAGCACCCCCTCCTGGTGGTTGGCAATGTTAAATATAGTGAACATGGATATCTCGTTGCCAGTTCATGAGAGATGGGCGCGAGGTAGGTTCACTGGGAACATTGTAACGGTCCTGTAAAATGTTCTGTTAGTTTGTTGCTAACATAAAATACTATTCCTCGTAAGGTGCTGTACTGCCGGTGATGAACCTGGTCCCTGATTATTTTATATCCTGTTTCATACAGATAAACTACATCTTGTATCATCCGGTCTCCTGGTCCATATTCACATAACGCAGAGTACTGATGAAAAAGCCATAATTATTAAAAAGGTTACACAGGCAGATGTGACCTTATTGTAATATATATGTTGGCTTTTTATAGTTATTTTGTGTTGATTGTTAATTGAAAGCACACTCAAAATACCTGTACGTGTGTAATACTGGATTTGTAAACAGTAAAAAGAAGATTTCTCTGGGTACTTATTCAACTACAACCTCATAAATCTGATAATAACGAATTCAAATCTTTTATGCTTACAAATGTTAAATAAATTGCCTGATACACGCAGACAAAACTGCCTTTATGCACAGATACGGTTACGAGTGCACCATTATTTTTGAGACTCATGTCAAGCTCCAACAGCTTCAGATTTGTGCATAAATGGGGTGTTTAAATGCTGTTGGAAAGCTGGGTCATATGACTTTTGCTCAGAATCTAGTGTTTTCATCCTCTGAAAGTTTATCACTGTGCTTGTGCCAAAGTGACAAAGACATTATATTTGTTGGAAAATTGAATATTTCAGTCCTTATTTTATAATACTCCAAAATTCTTTATAGACATTTTGTGGATTTTAGAGTGGTATAGATGAGATTGCGTGGTTAATAAAATGACCACTCGGTGGCGGAATGGTTCGCTGGCTGGATAAACAGGTTGTCAAACAAAGAAGCAAGACTTAAGCGTCTTGTGCACTCGTAACCAGATCTGTGCAATTTTGACCTATGTGGATTTCAAGCTCTGGCAACTGATCCCAGAGCTCAAGCTGGCATCAGTTGTTCTTTAATTCTCCTTCTGCATTTCACCTAATGGGCATCAAGGTAAGGTCAGAGGTCAGTCTCCAGCACAAAGCTCCTGCAAGGAGGAGCCATAATATTACTGCATAGGAAATTCCCGCCATAGTTTCTCTCTGAGGAGATGCAATGTCAGACACTGAGAAAAGATTCAAGAAAATTATTTTTCTTCCATCAACCGGAATGCAACGTCGCTGCGTTCCACCCACAAAAGTGGTATCAAAATTTGCGGCTCAGCACCGGGAGGGGTGCTATTAATTATATGGAGAATTGGAGTTACGATGGCGATGTAAAAAGCGAAAAACGAGCTAAATTTCCAACTGCCAAAACACAGAGCATAACTGCCACCAACTGCCGCTCCACCAGAGTGAAAAATGAAGTGGATTTTTGACCCCAAACCAATTTTGAAATCGACGTCATGCCCACACATATCGCCCTATCGGTATCAAATTATGAATTATGAGTTTTGACTTAATGCTGTAATTTAAACCAAATAATTATTTCACAATATGTAAGAAAGAAAATTGCTCTCACATAGTTAATGAACCACATTTATCGATTACTTTCACATTATCAAGTTAAAATATCTACTTATTTTACTTTAGAATAATTTAAATTCTTGTTTCAAATTGCATGAACAAATTTTCTGATCTGATAATGAATTTTATTAAACATCACAATGAATTCGGCTCAGAAACATTTAGTGTGAACAGAACATTATCTTGAAGCTTTTCAAACTGTCAGTTGAATTAAAATAAGCACTTGCCTTAACACACAGGAGACATATCAATGTACACACTTCCATCTCACTCACGATGCAACACGGGATACAAAAACATGCCACTAAGCACTCTGGGAAATAGTTCCCACTCCTGTCTTTTTCTTCTTTCGTTTTTTTTAAGTGCTAACCTCAAAACTCTAGTTTATTCAACTATTGGCAGTTTGACAAAATTGATGAAAAGTTAACACAATTTACTACTGTAAGTGTATCTTTCACAAACTTACACATTTAGGTTCAAAATATAAAATTCACTAAATTTATTTGACTTAGAGAGTAGGAGATAGTAGTAGGAACATAAATACATGCCGCCGAAAAGATTGAAAATGTTTGTTTGTCATGTTTACATCCCAAATGCAGAGATTTGAAATTGTTAGGGATGAACATTCAGGACAACAAGCAGCTAAGTCGCAAAACAGTCCTCTTTCAAAAATATCACCACTCTATTATTCATTCTTGAAGCAATAAATTGATTTGGCTAACAAAATCACCAACAACCAGGAGAACTGTCTCAACTGGAATTGATAGATTAGGTTGAATCTGAATCCCATTCTCATCACCCCTGAAGACCCCATCCCCGTAAACAGCGTTGTAAGTGTTAAAAATAAAAATGAAGATATAGAGTCAGTGGAAATAAAGAATATTTGACAAACAATACAGAAAAGAAAAGATCAAAAACTTTTCTTTCATGTATTGAAAGAAATACATACATGTATGACATACATGTATGTCATACAGAGACAACTCTTCCACAATCTCACAGACTCACGACATACAGCAAGCACAGTGTTGCCAGATCTTGCGAAAGAAACAAGCAACCAGCTGTATTTAAAGCTTTTAAAGCAGATTTACAGCATATATCTGCATATAGCACTGCAATACCCCAAACCATGTACCATTAGATTTTTGTTTATTTTGCCCGAAATTGCAAATAATGAATAAACTTGGGAACAGTGTGTTTTAATCTAGTAAGGGGTTCTTCAATACTTTAGTAATTAACCAACACTCCCAGCAGGCAATACAGTAGAAAGAAGGTAGGGAGCAAAGAAAGAAAGAAAAGAACAGAGAAAAATCAAAGAAAGAAAGCAAGAATAAAGAAACCAAGGAAATAAAGGAAGAAAGAAAAGATTAAGCAAAGAAGAGTTCATTTTCCCAGCAGGTTGTCTCCTGATGAGGCTGATGTGGAGAGGCACTCAGCTCAGAAGAAGTGGGATTGCCTTCACATGCTGCTTTGGAGGACAGCATGAAGGAAGCTGGCTGAAAAAGAATGAAAAAAATGATGTTCTTGCTATGGTTATCACCTTTGAACAGAAGCCACACTGTTCTCCCATTGGTGCTATGGAAGCTCCTGTAGGGACTGATTAGACTTTGTGTGTGTCTTTGACTTTCCTTCAGATGTTTCTCTCTCCCTTCTCATGTATGCTTTTTTTGTGCACAAGACTCTCTCTCTCTCTTTATCTTGAAGGTGACAGACTCATCTATGTAGGGTGGAGATGGAACAGCAGGACATATGATTGGCACAAAACACCTGAAAGAGCTCCATGAGACATCTGAATAGACGGAACACACACTTGCTGAGCTAGCGAATCAGGTAGGTATTTGCTATCAGGCTGTTTATCAGACAATGGAAAGAATCCCACATTCACAGATGTTGAATGTGGGTAATGTTCTTCTCAGGACCAACGACCACAAATGAGACTGAGGATGTGTTCAGTAAAATTTCAACTTTTTTCACAATTCTGTCTTTCCTACAAATTCACAAACAATCCAAATATCCTAAATGAAATCTCATTATCCACCTTTCTTCTCCAATTTGATTGTTATTCTGATACTACTGATGCTTTATGTTTTCTTTTTTTTTCCTTGCCAGGTTGGCCGAACCACCTTTCTGGTGAACCCCCCACATTTCCTCGCCCCATCCACAAAGTTGCCAATATCAGCTCAGAAGAAGTGGGACTGCTGTTAGGTTCCTATTGATATTATTTAATTATAAGAAGTATTAGAAATCCTCTAATTGCACTGTTATCATATGGCATTTTTTATTTATTTAACATCAGTATGTTAACAATAATTATAAATTTTTTCCCCTTTTACTCACATTAGAGTTAGATGAAAAACAAATCTTTACAAAGTTATGCTTTTGCAAAAAAACAACAAACAAACAAAAAAAACTCTTATTTTTTATTGTTTTTCTAATTTTTATCAGTTACTGACATATTTGTGTCATGGTCCTGGTTCGTTTCAAGTTTTTTTTTTTCTTTTGTTATTTGATTATTTATCTCTCCTGTGTCATCCTTCCCCTTGAATTGGTTTCAGCCTGTGTGAATGTATTCCTTTCTGTAACTTTTTCCCTGCTGGATCCTTGAGTCTTCTCTGACCCTGTGTTTTTGGACACAGGGTCATTTGGAGGTCTTCCATAACACTTACCAGATCATGAAAATGTGTCCTTTTCTATAACGCACAAAAGTAAAATCAGCAATCTGAGTGTTGACTTTTTCAGTTTTTTGCCATAAGATTATCTTAAGGCCAAGTTATCTTATGTTGTTCATTACTAGTTATGAACAAATTAGAAAGAAACAGATTAATTGCAAAATAGATTTACCTTCAATGTAATGTTCGGTTTTTCTCTACCGGTCCTGACTTCATCTGCCTCAGATGAGGAAACAATGGGAGGAATACTGGTGCGAGTCGGCTTTGAGAAATATTAAGACAAAATTTTCAAGATGAAGGAGGGGGTAACTATGAGGAGATGATATCACAGAACTTCTGTATCTATAAGGTACTTTTTTGTGAATGTGTTCTTTTTGACCATCAAATTTAACATCAGGCAGGAGACTGGAGCACAGCTGGCAATGTTCCATTCAACTTATTTGGAGTATACAGCCACTTTCTGCTTTGTGTATTGCACTCAAAACCTAATTGGTTCAATTAAATCAAGCCAAAAAGGGTTGTTTTGTGGAGGGGTTCATGATGTTCCATGATGTGTATTAGCGATGGTACTGAGAACACTGGCTACATTTCAGTTTTGCTTCTTCTACCCTTTTGTTTTGCTTGTAATTGGTTGTGTGTGTCATGTATGACAGATAGAAGCTGATGAAATTCTGGTTAGACAATGATTAGGTATTAGAGTGATTGTTAAAGATAAACACTCTCAGTCTGGATTTGCACATGTGGAGGAAATTTCTGGTACTCCTCTGTTAATGACTAAAATTCCACATTGGTCAGTAACTTGAAGTAACTTTAGACTGACAAAAGTAATTTGCTGAAAATGAGCCAATGAAAATAAGACAAATGAATCAATGAAAATAAGGCATTGCCTTTGATGTATTTTCATCAGAATTAAAAGAAATATAAGCTAGTGAAACATGCCTGGGCAAAAATGATACCTCTTGAAAGGATTATAAATACTTTTAGGAACATGTTGAACTGATACGTTTCCTCTAAGCATTACAGATGTCTTCAACCTTGTAATCAGTCAATTTGCCTATGTAAGGGTGACTAGTAGTCACTGTAGTGATTGGTGATCAAATCAAATCAAATCAAATGTTATTTGTATAGCACTTTAACTCCTCAAAGTGCTTTACATCATAAACACAAAGTCATGCATCACGGAATAAACAATACATTGTTACATATTACATTTCAAATAAAACTAAACAGGTGTGTTTTTAGTTGAGATTTAAAGGAAGTCAGGGTTTCTGCTGTTTTACAGTTTTCTGGAAGTTTGTTCCAAATTTTTGGTCCATAGATGCTGAAAGCTGCTTCTCCTCTCTTGGTTCTGGTTCTGGGGATTCAAAGCAGAACCAGAACCAGAGAGGTCTGGAAGATTGATACAACAACAGCAGATCTTTGATGTATTGTGGTGCTAAACCGTTCAGTGATTTATAAACTAACAACAGTATTTTAAAATCTATTCTTTGAGCTACAGGGAGCCAGTGGAGGGACTTTAAAACTGCTGTTATGTCTCTATCTTCCTGGTTTTAGTGAGAACAGGAGCAGCAGCTTCTGGATCAGCTGCAGCTGGAGGATTGATTTGTTGGACAGGCCTGTGAAGACGCTGTTACAATAATCAATGCGACTAAAGATAAACACATGGATGAGTTTCACTAAATCTGGCTGAGACATTAGTCCTCTAATCCTGGAGATGTTCTTCAGGTGATAGAAGGCTGGATCACAATGGGTCACAAGAAGCAGAGGAGTTGTCAGAATGAGAATTACAGAACAGAATATTAAATGTAATGCAATCCGGGGAGGAAATTAGCACCCAAATGGCCAAATGTGGGTAAAAGTATGACCTGGCATGTATTGGAGCAACACACCTGCCACCATGGTGGGTTGACAACTTGAAAAGGAAAAAAAACCCACTACACTCAGTTTGAACTTCTGACCAAGGCAGGACTGACCGTCTGGAGGACAGAGTTATGCACATTCTACATATGAACTGTCATAATTTAACAAGAAAAGTATATTAAATTAAAGAAAAATTTTAATCAAGCACAACAGGCCATTGGTCGATTTTATTTAGGCATTTTGGGCTTATCCAATAAAAATCCCTCAGTCCTCCTTGGCCTGCACCTCCCCTCCAAGATTAGCAGCAATTCAGCTAAAAGTGAGCAGGTGTTAAATTTTCTACGAAAACAAAAGCTAAATAAAGCATTAGCCCATTCAGAAAAATGTGTCAAATTAACCAATATGTTTACCACACAAACTTTACCCGCTGGAGCAGACTCTTCCTCCTTCAGTAGCGGAGAAGGAGAGAGAAGTAACGTTTCAGGGGATTTATTATGGTCGAAGTTAGGATGATGAGAGGCATGACCAGGGACAGATTGAGGAAGAATTCAGGTGAGCTGCTGCTGCCCAGTACAAAGAAGTCGAAATGTTCTTGACAAAGGAGGGAGTAGGGCAGGTGTGTGAGTGACAACTTGAAAGGAAGTGTAGTGGAAGCTACACTAAGCCAGTGTCACAAAAACATTGGAATAACAATGGAATAATGATGGCCCATTGAATTAATAATAAACACATTCTGAGATGTTATGTAAATTTCTGTGAGATGGAGCTTTAACTCCTATCTCTGGCCTTATCTTTGAAACAGCATAGAAATGCTGAGAAGCAGTAGTAAAACTGGATGTTGTAGGGTTGTGTTGGCTGACATGACTGCAATATTGCATGGACATCGGGGGTAGTTCCACTGGATTGGCAGACAGGGGTGGTGGTCCCCGTGTTCAAAAAGAGGGACCGAAGGGTGTGTTCCAATTACAGAGGGGTCACGCTTTTAAGCCTCCCTGGCAAGGTATATTCAGGGGTCCTGGAGAGGAGGGTCCCTCAGATATTCAAATCTTGGATACAGTAAGAGCAGTGTAGTTTTCGTCCTACTCGTATGTATTTGTGACCTAGTTGTATTAATGACAAGCTAGGTCATGATCCAAAGCTACCTGCCCTGATCTTGTCTTTTCTTTTCTTCCTCTCTCTGGAGCTCTTTTAATATTTATTTCAATCTTCACTCCCCACTTTGACCAGTTGCCAGTGGACCAGCAATAGTTCTTTGATTGGGGAGCCTTAGTGACATACAATGTTCATTGTTATGTTCGTGTCTTCTGTATTCCCTGGTTGCGTCTCTTTCCTCTTCGTAAACGTCGGGAGTCAGAGGTAACTAGCACTTAACACCAATAATAATGAAGGTATTTTGGTGATACAGGAAATAAAACATGGCTGTCTGCGGTGTCAAAGGTTACTAGCACTTAACATCAGCAGCAGTAAAGTAAGTCGTCTTCATCCAGAAGTTGTGCGTTGTCCTCCTCTGTTTGATGTTCTGTTGACTGGTGGACTCCAGGTTGGGCGTTGTCTTGACTCTCTTATAGTGGCTGGCGTGAATCCACGTCACCCTCTCTGGTGAAAATGATCCCTGCCAGCGTGTGGAGGTGCAATGTTTCACGATCCAATGACCGGGTTTGATGGTATGGAGTGGCGTCTCAGCAGGACGTGGTAATGCATCTTTCTCTGTCTGAAAAACTCGAGAAAGCGTATTCAACAGGTTTTGCCAGTAAAACTAACTTGCATCATAACAGCAGCTTGAGGAGCAGCAGCTCCTTAAGCTGCTCCTTAAGCTGCTGCTCCTTCCTTCCACAGAAGTGGAAGGAAGGACCTGTACCTGAGAGCTTCCATTCACTTGCTAAACATGTCAATAATAACAATCAAAAAATTTCTTCCCCTTAGTAGTGAACAGTTCAATGAATTCCATCATAAAATAGTTAAAAAGTCATTGAGTCACAGAGATGGCAATTAGTTACATAATAAAAACAGTAACAGGATCACATGATGCAGAGCCATAAACAAACAGCATCAAGTCAGCGTTAGTTGGAGCATTATAGATAATGGAGCTGTCACCATAGTTTTCCTTCAAATCCAAAAGCAATCCAATTTAATAAATTTAATTATTTATTTAATTAGACCTACGTCATATTTGTTTTTTAGCCCAAAATCATCAAGAACTTTAGATAGCCCAGGGGTGTCCAAACTACCAGATTTTATTGGCCCGAACCAAATTCTGCAAATATACTTGAATATGCTCGGCACAAAAAGCTTGAGCTCAACTCTGTTGCACTTCTGAGTTTCAACAGGAGATGGAGTCAGCCATAGAAACTGAATTTAATTCATGTTGTTGCTGAGCTGGACAGGCTTGTCTCAGGATAAGAACTGATAAAGTCATGAAGAGTAAAAAAACATTACATTTAATAATATATTCTGGTGCACACTATTTTATGTTTCATGTTAAAATATTAACAGTGTTTGTCTTGTTTTTATGATATAACGAGTAGTTAAAAAAGAGATAATTTACTTAATATAACGATTACTTAGCGATAACTACTAATAAATCAAACAGTTAAAATATTACATTGGTATTTGTTTACTGAGTTAATCTTTCTTGTCACTCTTGTAACAAGTAGCATTTTACTAATACATT